GAGGGAGGAACAGGGTCAGGGAGAAGGAGAGTCCTCCACAAAGGAGGGTGTTGTCACCCAGGCCAGAGTCAGGGAGCACTTGGAGGTGGGAAGGACTGGTCAGCGATGAGTGGACAAAACCAAGTGCCAAGAGAAGATTGGGATTTGTCCACTAGTGGCCAGGTGTGTTCTTTGAGGGAACACCAGGGTTGGGGTGGCACTGGCCTCAGGAGGTGAGGATTGGGGGGCATTATCCTTGTCCACTCCTCCTTTCTCACTCTCACTTGGCCCCTTCCCCAGCCTTTTTATCAGCAGTGCCCAGCCCTGAGAAGTTATCTTCTCGCCCTTCTAAATCCTACCTAGAGGCCCAGTCTCCTCTTACGAACACGCCTGCATTTGTCCATGGACCATCCTGGTAGGGGGTTGATATGAATGAGAGTTGGGGGATAACTAGGCTTTCCCGTGTGTCCCCACCAGTGCCTAGTACTGGGGTTGAAAGGTAAGGAAGGGCCGGGACAGGTTTGCTTCAATAGGCCCCAAACCAGCGGTCTCAGGCTTCCATGCAGGCAGACCCCAGGCAGCTGTCATGAGGGCGGGATGTGTAGGCCAGGTGAAAAGCCAGAGGAGAGACACGCCCTGCCTGAGCGTGGCAGCTGCTGCTCAACCATCTGGCAAAGTGAGATTGTGGTGGTTTATGAAAATCACAAATCTGGATTTTTTTTCAAGTGGATTTTTTTTTTGGCTTGCTGTCCCTGGCCTTCAAGGTAGTGTTCATGTAGTTCCTGGGTGACCCAGTGCCCTGATGGGCCAGGCCCCTGTGAACCATAAGTGACATTCTGGGTATCTGGGACTTGCTGCCAGTCCTCTGGAGGAGGGTTTTACACATGGATGAGACATGGTCAGACTGTGATTTTAAAGATGAAGAAAAATAATCATGGGAGCCAGTGCTCTGGAGAGACCTGGAGAACCAGACGCAGGGGCTGGGACCAGAGAGGGGCACTTGGTTTCCATGTAAACATACTCTGGCCTATTCTTGCCTCTCAAGAATACATGCCCATTGTAGCCACCACTTCTGTTCCCAAAAGATGTGTTCATTATTACGTTAAACTCTCCAAATTTTTAAATGTTGGCTCAAATTTTTAAAAATAGGCAAACAAAATGAACCCACAGCCCCCCATTGTTGATCCTGCTTTAAGGGTATGGTATTTGCCATGTATAATGCGCACTTTTTTGCCCAAATTTTTGAGGGAGAAATAAGGATGCACATTACCCAAGGGTAGAACTAACTCCACATCTATATAAATGTTTTTAATTTCTATTTATGCTTATGTGTTAAAAATGTAACTCTAGAAAGCAATAATGATATCTGTATCTAAAATAATAACCTAGAATATGACAGTTGGTTTTGTTTATAAATATAAATAAATAAATGATTGAATTTAAAATTTAAAAGATTTTTTTTTTTTGAAAGTTTGGGCCAAAAATGTGGGTGCGCATTCTACACAGGAGCTTATTACATACAGCAAAATATGTTACTTGAGAACGAGACTTCCCTTGTTCCTCTTGAGAAGCAGTGTCAAGCAGACGTGGAAGCCCGCCACCTGTGTTCAGATCTTGAACCTATGTTTGCTAGCAGTTTGACCTTGCCCAGGGTCCACCCTCTCCCTCAAGCAACCTGCGTTCTGCCAGCAACTGCCTCAGGAGGCAAATCACCTAGGTACACAGGAAGTGCTATAAACCTCGCTGTCATACTGCTGTTATTCTGCAGTGGAGCGGAGGCGGAGGGACAAAATCAACAACTGGATCGTCCAACTTTCAAAAATCATTCCAGATTGTAATGCAGACAATAGCAAGACGGGAGCGGTGAGTGTCCCTGGCCCCTCCTCGAAAGTCTGCCTGACCACTGAACATGGCAGTTGTCCTGGGGTGAGCCAGTGGGCAGAGGCCAGCGGGCAGTGTTTGCTCTAATGTTCTTGCTCACCTCACACTACCCGCAGAGTAAAGGAGGGATCCTGTCGAAGGCCTGCGACTACATCCGGGAGCTGCGTCAGACCAACCAGCGCATGCAGGAGACCTTCAAGGAGGCCGAGCGGCTGCAGATGGACAATGAGCTCTTGAGGCAACAGGTGAGTGCCAAGGCTGGAAGCTGGGTGGAGAACCCGGGACCCCAGAGTGCAGGGAGCTATCCCTGGCTCCTTGTCCCCTGTTGTGTCTGCCAGATTGAGGAGCTGAAGAACGAGAACGCCGTGCTTCGTGCCCAGCTGCAGCAGCACAATTTGGAGATGGTGGGCGAGAGCAACCGGCAGTGATGCCCACCCTGTCATGCAGCAAGGCCCTCCTCTGGGCCTCTGCTGCCCCCTTCCCCAGCCCTTAGCACAGAGAGGGACAGATGCCCCTCCCCCAGCTGCGTTTTTTTATAGTAGATTTTTAACAAAAAAAAAAACGGGGAGAAGTAATGCATTTCTGTGGATAAGCACCCACCACTCTCCTCAACGTGGAAGTGATATCCTCCCTCCCCCATCTGTCTGTGCCCCTTCTGGCCCCCACTAAGCCCCAGCACTTCTAGTGGTCTCTCCTGGAGGCAAAAGGGAGGAGGACAGAGGCCCTGCCATACCCCGCTGCCTCCTTGGTCTCTAGAGGTACTGATACGGTGCTTACGGGAAGAAGGGGAGCCCTTGGGGGGCCATCCCTGGGACCTGGACCTAAGCAGGGAGGCCATGTCCCACCCCACCTCTTGTTTCTGGATTCCTGCTTCCCTTTGGGCGTGTGTGTGTGTGTTTTAATTTTCTTTATGGAAAAATGGACAAAAAATAGAGAGAGAGGTATTTAACTGCAATAAACTGGCCCCATGTGGCCCCGCCTTGTCTGTCTGTGTATCTGTTCATCTCAGGTGTGGGCAGGGGGCATGGGGTCTGTGTAGGGCTCTGTGAGGGCAGGGCTTCAGCAGTTGTGTTGGTGGCTTTGTGTCAGTCCCTGCCATCCTGTACTGCATGGTACCCAGTCTGTTGCATGGATGGATGGAGGAATTGAGGAAAGAATATTCCTTTTGAGGTCCCAAGTGTGTATATGTGGTGTGGGCATGAGGGGAAAGATTGGGTCAAGAACCCATGTTCTGGAAGAGAGGCTGGGGTCTCCTGTGTCACCAGTTTCTAAAAACAAGACTGGCTCCTGGCCCTGCCCTTCTGGGCTGAAGCCCTTCCCTCTGCACCAGCCAATGGTGGGGCCTGGCCTTGAGCCCCCCACCCCCAAGGAAGGCAGATGGCCAAGAAGCCAGGCTTGGCCCGTCAGCCTGTCGCCTTGCACTGTGGCTCTGGCGCCTGTGCTATGACCCCTGCCCCTGGCTGATGATGAAACCTGGCCTGAATGGAGATGCAGTGACACCAGGAGGTGCCGGGGGATGCTTCTGTGTCTCCCTGCAGTTGAGCATGCAGCCCCCAAGCAACTGCATCCACTCCCAGGCCCTAGGCCTGCCAGTCATGACCTTGCTGAGTTCTCCAACCTGTGTACCCCAAATGCCCCCAACTAGTTTTTTTGCCTCTGAGAGCTCTGTCTCCTGTCCTGGCCGTTCCTCCCATCTTTGGGAGCGAGGGTGTGTGCAGCAGGAAGGGCCTAACATGGAGTGAATGAAGAGGCAGATGGCAGGGAGCAGCCTTTACTTCCCGGGGATCTCCCATTCTTGTGTTCTTGGCTTGTGTTCCTGTGAGGCTGGCTACCATTCATGGCAGGGGAGAGGTTTCCGTTCCTTGGCAACACCACCTCCAGGCTCCAATGGTAGGGTTGACACTGGATGATCCTAGAATGAGTCAGGCAAAATGGCCAAAGCCCAATCTCTGGAATCAAGTTTGTGGGTCCTTGGGCCTATGTGTACCTACTACCCATGGATCAGGTAATGGCTAGGACAGACAGCCTTGGTTCATGTCCCCATCCAGGGTGTTTTAGGGGACCAGCTCTCCAAAATAAGCCCTAGTTTGTAGTGCTGGCTGACGTTTGTGGTGTACACACCCTACTCCTGGTATCAGTGTATTAATACAATGTGGAGGTGGGATGAGATGTGCACAGTAGCTCCAATGAGCCAGTATGAGCCAGGTCTAGTACACCCCAATGTGCCCAGCTGTGTTCAAGGGGAGGCAGGCAAGCTTGGTGATCAGTGCACAGGCCTCAGAGTCAGGCTGTGTAGTCTGGAATGCCAGCTCTGCCTCTGGCCTCAGGCAGTGCCCCAATCTTTTCTTTCGGCTCCTGCCGTCAAGTGAGGACAAACAGATGGGTATGGTGGGTTCCTAAGAGGCAGCAGTGTCTGGGAAGCCGGGTCCTTGGGGATGGGCCGAGTAGGCAGCTAGGGACTCTGAATATAGTGCAAAGCCCAGAATGGGTAGGCAGGTGCTGCCTCGAGGACTGGTATTACTGGCTGCATTAACACAAATGTGAGTCAGTATACCTACTGTGGCGTAAGGTGCAGCCACTACTGCTACTGCTATCTGTCATGGTCAGTTCACAGGAACATCCCCCAGACACCAGGGCCACATCTTAAGATTCTGACACTTCTAAAAGATCACATGCATGCTGTGCCAACTCCAACTCATGCATCTGACTGTTGCAGTGTTCCCTATAGAACAGAACCGAAGCGGTGGCAGTTGTGCCAGGCACCCCTGAGGAGCCTGGTAAGAGCCAGCTGTTCCCCATGTGAATGACGGGACGGGTGGGGAGCAAGGACACCTTGCTCCTGCTCATCGACCTGTTCAACCTCTGGGGCAAAAGGGGGAATTTTTTCTGAGGTCAACAAGGTGATGTCATGTTAGGGAAAACGTTTCCCAGGTGGCTGGCTGGAGGTGTTGTCTGTGGCCCCATCTGCCCCACCCCCTGGACACTCCTCTGCTGGCTGAGGGTGACACAACCCTGTTCCCTGTCACTCTGTTCCCGCTTATCTCCCGCCTTTTCGGCGCCACTACCTTCTTGGAAATGAGTTAGAACAAAGGGGAGGGGGCTTAGCACCCCCGCCTCCCGCCGCAGGCCCCATAAAAGCAACTGTAAGAGCCCAGACACCAGAGCGGTCCTAGACCTAAGAGCAGGACAGCTAGGCAGACGGCACAATGGCACTGAACACGCGGATCCAGGCAGCCTGTCTCCTGCTCCTCCTCCTGGCCAGCCTTGCCAGCTCCTCACTTCTCCTGCACCAGGTGAGGAGAACCCGCAGGGCTTGAGCCCAGCAGGCAGCTAGGACTGGAGGGTCAGGCCCTGGGAGGGGACTGCTGAGGGCAGCTGGAGACCCCCAGGACTGGGCAGAGGGCAAGGCAGGCAGAGGGGGATGGGGAGCTGCTAAAAGTACAGAAATAGGGTCCAATGGCAGGGACTGGGGGCCCTGAACTAATTCCACATTTATTTATTGAGTACCTACTCTGTGTAAAGTCCTATTCTAGACAGTGAGGATCAAGCAGTGAACAAGGTAGATGAGAGATTTTTGTTCTCATGGTGCTTGCAATCTGGTCAGGAATTAGTTAAAAAAACAAAACAAGATCACGGTGTTCAGTAAATGCTATTCACAAATAACATGAGATTGTAATAGCGTGACCATGGTGGGGGGTGGGGACTTCAGGTGGAATCAAGAGTTGACAGTCAAATAGGAGTGTTCCATGAGAAAATGTTTTTTGACCTATAACTTGCAGGTTAAAAGAAAGGGACAGCAAGCAAAGACCCAAGATGGGGGCAAGCACCGTGTACTTGATGATCAGAGGCTTTAGGAAGTGGAGGTGATGGTGCTTGGAGATGGGATCAAGGGACAGATATGACAAGTCTTATGGGCAGTCATGCCAACTGATTTTCCTCCAAGTGCAGGATCTTAGAGACTTGCAGGCTTTCCTAATGGGAAAAGCCGCAATCTGATATTGCAAGGGGACTGGATTGTAGGTGCAAGATGCAGGGAGACTTGTTGCCGGCGAGGGCTGGCATCCAGGCCAGGGAGGGCAATGTCCCGAAGAAGAGCAGTGGCTGTGGAGAGAGCAGGAGATCTGGGTTGTTTGCGGGAAGGAGAGAAAAGGCCAGAAAGCAAGGATTCTATCTGAGCACCAGACACAACCTCTTGAGAAGGAATGAGTTGGCGGGGCCAAATCTGAGAGCTCTGCTGGGCTCCCTGTCATCCTCAAAATTCCTTCTGCCTTCACAGACAAAACAGCTTGCAGACCTCCAGACTCAGGACACAGCTAGAGCCACAGCTGGCTTGACGGTGAGAACACTTGGGCCTCCCTTTGGAGCCTCCACAGCCTTCCCTGGGCCCACACCCACTCACTCTTCCTTTCCTCCCACAGCCTGGGCTCCAGAGGCTGAGGAGGCGAGACACCCACTTCCCCATCTGCATCTTCTGTTGCGGTTGCTGTCATAAATCAAAGTGTGGGATCTGCTGCAAGACGTAGAGCTTCCCGGCCCTACTCTCCCTCCCTTATTTATTCCTGTCACCCTCCAACATTTGGTGAAAGGTCTCAGAATAAAATGGCTGGTTCTAGCTTTTATTTCCAAACCAGAGTGTCTGTTGTCCTTTCTCCCTGCCAGAGGCTATGCCAGAGGCGTGTCCTGGCCACTGTCTTGTAAGGGCCAGTACTCAGTGGGATATGCGGGGTTGCCGTGTACTGGGGCTGCCAGGAAGCTTGGTGAAGGCAATTTGTTATCTGTTCCTCCCCTCCTTTAAGCCACACTTCGTAAGACCTGGAATTTTTGTTGCCATTAGCAGGGAATGAAAACTAGACAAACTTTCTTCTTAAAAGTCTTAAAACGGGTGATAAACTCAAATGCCTAGCAGGGGTTCTCAAAGTCAGGTCTGGGGCTAAATCTAGGGCCCCACAGGGAAATGCTACTAAGATGTTACTTGTCTCTTTCACTCTCATTCTCACTTGAGCATACAATGGGGTTTTCCAGAAGCTGTGATGTATGATGACATCATCACTCTGAGAGCTAATGGACTGTGGCTTGTGCTTCGAAAATTTCCCAGTTTAAATTTCTAATATGTTAAGCAGCTATATATACATAACCCACTGAAATGAAAATTTTTTTGGAGTCCTCAATAATTTTGCAGAAATGGTTCCTGAAACCAAGAAGTTGAGAACCACTGGCCTTCCAGACAGATGCATAAATGAGTGAGGTGTGGATTTGATTCACAGGAGCATCTTATGTTGTTATCTCTCAATAAGAACACACTTTGCAAATGAGGCACATAAGAGAACACTGTTCACCTCCATAAGGAATTAAGGTCCCTCCCATTCTTAAAAACTGTATTCCTCTCGATTTATCTGATTTTCCCACTTTTGATAGAAACAAAGATGCAATTCACTATCTTCTTAGCTCATAAGAAAACATCAGCAGTAGTGTGATGAGAAAGGGCCTTGGCCATTCGGCCTCACTGCTGTGTATGGATGGGCGGTGGGAACCCTGGATCCCATCTAAAGGTGATGGTTGCCATGCTCAAAGGCAGGCGGGACACGGCCACAGTTTCTTTTCAAGAGAAGGTGGCAATCCTTACTTTTATGTGAAATTGCCTGATTTTTTAAAATTTTGGCAACCGATTAAAGGAATTTGTTTTTTTTCAAATCAACACTCTGTGAGCCAAACTTAACCCAACCGGGAGCTGGATAAGTCTGGTAACCCACAAACTTCGGCCTTCTGCCTTCAAAGACATGAGAGGCTCATCCTCTGAGAGAGGATTTCCTGAACCGAGACTGAGGCCGAGGGGCAGGGAGAGGAAGGCAAGCTGGAGAACCTGGCCTTCCATTTGCTGTGGAATCTCACAGGCATCTTCTCCTGGCTCTGAAACACCATCTCCTCCCAGGACTAAGTGTCTCTATAGTTTCCAGGTGATTGGGCTGCTGAACTGCTCTGTCAGGAATGAGTGTGAAAGGGTTTTTGGGAACTGTCAAATCCTTCATCAATGTAAAGGATTAGTAGGGACAGGAAGGTAGGGGGCTCTCAGACCCCTCAATAAATACCTCGGAGGTGGGAAACCTGAAATTACTAAGTACACTTAATGACACTGAGTATTCCTGGTTCATCTTGGCAAGTTCTCCAGGTGGTCCTAGAGATGAGAGGCAGTGGTACTCAAACTTCAGTGTGCACCAGAACCTCCTGGAGGGCTTGGGGTAGTGCACATTGCCGGAGTTCCTGACTCAGCAGGTTTAGGTAAGGCCCTAGAACTTGCATTTCTAACCAGCTCCCAGGTGACACTGATGCTGCTGGCCTGGGCCCACACTTTGAGGACCCCTAGTACACAGCTGCCAACTCTGGCTGAGGGCAGCAAGTGCCTCTGGGTTGGAACCAGCACCAGCTTCCGCTGGAGAGCATTAAGCAAGTGGGCCGGAGGGCTGATTCTGCCCTGAGATGAGTTTTGCTTGGTCTGCACAACATTTTAGATAAAGTTGGGCTAATATCTAAAAAGTGAGGTATTTCACATAAAAATATGAACTTCTGATGTTATGGGTTGAACTGTGTCTCCCTCCTCCAAATTTATAAGTTGAAGTTTTAAATCCCCATACCTCAGATTGTGACCTTATTTGGAGAAAGGGTCTTTCGAGAGACAATTTAAAATGAGGTCATTAGGGTGGGTTCTAATCCAATAGGACTGGTGTCCTTTTAAAAGGGGGAAATTTGGACACAGAGATCCTCACACAGGGAAAATGCCATATGAACATGAAGATGGCCACCTAGAAGCCAAGGGGAGAGGCCTGAGGGAAAGGAACAGGCCCTTTCCTCAAAGGAACCAAATGCCCTCAGACTTGTAGGGGACCTACAAGTTGACATCAGACTTCTATTCTCCAGCACTGTGAGATAATAAACTGTTTTTTGAGCCATTCAGTTTGTGGTACCTTGTCATAGTAGCCCTGGAAAACTAACAGCCCTGTCTTGTCTGGAGGGATCGGCTGAGTTGGCAGGGCTGGGAGCTGGAGGTGAGTGGCACCTCTCGCCATAGGCAGGCACGAGCTCTCCAGGCCCCGAGGCCTCCTGTGCTCTGGACAGGAGTTTTCAGAGTTTGGGGATAGTTGCCAGTGCTGTCTGTGGGACTCACTCTCCTGTGCATGCTTCTCCCAGGGACAGCCTTCACTTCACACCCAGAAAGGAGCTGTACCCCCAAACTGCACGGACACATGAGCCCAAGGGGGACGGGGCTGACACCGAAGGCTGTCGCATATGAGCACCTCAGGATCATGGTGTCCTCCCCTACTCCCCAGGCACCAGGCCCCTCTCTTCTCCAGGACCCAGGCGTTCAAACTCCACCCCACTCTCAATGGGCCTTTGTTCCTGACTGGGAAAGGCACGGGCAGAGTCTGACATCATGAAGCCCGAGGTGGGGATGGGACTCTCCCTCCCCCCTTTACCCAGCCTTCTCTGACTCCTCAATTCCCTGTCTAGGGATTTCCCACCCCTCACCACCACCCTACCCACCCAGGTTTTTTCTTAGGGGAAAGAGCATTCCCTCTCTCCTTCCCCACTGCTCTGGTTAAAGGGGGACAGATGACACCCCAGTATGACTGAGCATCTCATGGTCAAACCACTACTACACTTGTCAAACCACTGCCAGCTCCCAGCCACCACTTTGCAAAAATAACGACCAATGGTAGGGGCTGGGGTAGCAGGAGGGTCACTATAGAATCTGCCCATGGAGGGCCCCCACCCAGCTCAGAGTCAGCGCAGCCCTCAATGAGCCCTGGACACAGGCTCTGTTGCAGGGGACAGAGTGAATATGACAGAAATGCCTCTGGGTGCTCCTGGCTAGCAGGGAAGGAGCTCACTGATAGTGCAGGTGGGCAGATGTGCTGAGGGCTGTGGAAAGACAGGGTTGTATTTAAACTGAAGGGCTTTGTCCTGGCCAGGTGACTCAGTTGGTTGACCGTCAACCCTTGCACCAAAAGGTTGAAAGTTCGATCCCCCGACAGGGCACATACCTAGGTTTCAGCTTCCATCCTTGGGCAGGATGTGTACAAGGGGGAACCAATCAATGTTTCTCCCTCGTATCACTGTTTCTCTCTCTCTCTCTTTTTCTCCCTCCTTTCCTCCCTCTCTACATATCCTCAGGTGAGGAAAAATAAAATAAAATAAAATAAAATAAAATAAAATAAAATAAAATAAAATAAAATAAAATAAAATAAAATGAGGAGCTTTGGCTTGGTGAGAAGGCAGGTAGGCTTCAGAAGGAAATGGCATCCACTCAGGGAGCTTTGGCTCCGGTGGAGTAGGGATGGGATGAGGTAGGGGAGCTTCCCAGGAGGAAGGAACAAGTGCAAAGGTCTCCTGTGAGAAGGTGCCACAGGGTATTAGATGTGCACATTCATGCATCCACTCTGCATTTATGAAGCTTAACCGTGCCAGGAGCTGTTCTACAAACAGGATAGATTGGCAATAAGCAGGCAAAGCTCTTGTCTTTCTGAAGGTCATGCTTTCATGAAAGAGGATAGTCAATACCTAAGGCCATTTCCAACAACAAGGAGCGCCTAGAAGAAAACACACCAGGCTGCAAGCACCAAATGTGACCCAAGGAAGTGACTATAAGTGAGGGTGGAGGGGACACTGAAGCCTCCTCCTCCCACCCATATCAGCCTCTGTCATCTCTTGTGGCCAGGGTTATACCTATTGTTGCCACCAAGATTCCCTGGATGCTGAGGACACCTTCTGTTTCTCAGTCTGAGATGTTCAGAGATATTAGAATGCCCTCCCAGGGGCTCAGAACCAGAATGCACAGCGTTGGAGGATGGAGGGGAACAAGTGAGGCAGCACCCCCATCCCCTCCAGGAAGGAGCTGGTAGAACCCAGGCATCAGGCTGCCTAGTTGAGCAGTGGTGACAAGGGCCCCTTTGTGCCCCCCTCCCCCCGGAGGACAGGGAGGAGCTGGGCCCTGGAGGCAGGCGGCCCCTGGCACCCAGGGCGGGGGGAGAGGAGGGGCCAGCAAGTGGGGGCCTAGACCCTGGGAGGCCAGGGGACTGTGAGCTGGGCTGAGGAGCAGAGGGCGCAGATACAAGAGCATCCTGGTGAGTACACAGTGCCAAGAGGGACTGGCAACAGGGCGGGAGCCGAGGACCAGGGCTGAGAGGGTGGAGCAGGGGCACCCGAAGCACATGGAAGGTGAGGGTGGTCGCTGTGAACTGCCGCTAATTTAAGACGTGGAAGGATGTTCCTTAGGACTTTGAAATGAGCTGGGACCATGGCAGGACAGTGACAATACTTTGGGAAGAAACTGCAGAGAGAACCAAAGGCCCTCCTCAGCACCCCTCGTGGTAGAAGTTACACAGGAACAGCTGCCCTGGGGTTTCCAAGTTTGGGGCAGATGTGGTGGAAGCAGCCTCAGTCTGGGTGAAGGTGGACTGATGCCCAGGTGATTAGACACCTGCATCCTGCCCTCTGAGAGGGGGTGGGGCAGTGGGCTATGAGTGAACAAGTTGCAGCACTTGGGAGCACAAGGTGTGTGTGCATACGTGTGTGTGTGTGTGTGTGTGTGTGTGTGCATGTGAGCACCTCTCCTCAGTGGGTCTTAATTTATAT